GATAAAAAATACCTTGGTAAATAAACAAAATCAAAATCCTTCAACGTCCGATTCATGGTCAGATTCGCCAAACATTTCATAGAACTCATAGTAGAATAGAACATAGCAAAAGCGTCCCCAACATATCCATTCGCGTACATAAAATCTATCTGCATTTTCCCTTTTTAAAAGTTAAAAGAAATATTCAAAACTGTTCAGTTATTGCGTGGGCTATTTTTTTAAATTTTGACGTGTATGCCTGTTAACAAAAGTATTTCATGAATGAACAATAACTATCATAAAGACTTATACCTACATAAAAGCTATCTGCATTTCTCTTTTCTTGGCGTGTTGGCGAAACTTTTTTATTGCTCGATATTGATTCAGTTGTTCGGGGGCCGAAAATGTTTTGGTTTAATTCGAAACTTACTCTAGTTGAAGTATGAAACTCTGTGATTAGTTCGTCACATAATTTAAGTCAATGAAATTACTTCAAGTAAGTGACTTATTTGATAAGTCATCCAATTTGAAGTGTGGGAAGAAAACAACTGCATTATATAAAGAAATTTTTTGAACTTCCGTATCTTTTAATTTTTTATGGCCCCGCGTACAAGTCGACCCCCCACTTTGAAGTCTTTTTTTTTGTCCAAAATATCTCGACTTATACGCGGGTATATACGGTATATTCTTAGCAAATGAAATGTTGCTAAGAATGTTGCATATATAACCTTTGTGGTCGACTTCAGCGGAAACAAATTTGTGCTACACACAAGGAAAAACAAGAAATATCATTTGGCCGAAAGAACAGGTTATGAGACAAATGAATTATTCTGCAAATTTAGCCATTTAGTCACTGGTCAGCCATATGAAAATGTTTGGTGATCAAGAAAAATTTTATGAATCATCAAATGAAACAACACAGTATTATTCACAGGCAGGCTAACTCTTCAATAAGAAATGGTGGAAGTGGGGGGGGGGAATCTTAAAAAAAAAATTCAAAATAGTCCTGTGACACCAGTTAACCGCATAAACAACTGCCGGTATATGCCAACAAATTCTTTTGCATTCAAACCCACCCTTAGAGAAGCACTGCTACTTTATCACACAAACAATGCAGGAATTTACCAACAAATTCTTTTGCATTCAAACCAACATGCATTTAAAGAAATAGTTAACATTGTTCTTTTCCTATTTTTTTCTTTGAGAAATACAGAAGTCTGATAATCTTTCCTAGATATTGTTAACGTAACACCAATTTTATTTTATACGTCAGATTTCATCATCTGATTTACTATCATTAGGAGACAAAACAAAATTCTGCAAGTGATTAATCATTAATATTTAACAATATTCTCTCTTTCACAAAAGAACATAAAGCTTAAAATGCAATCAATTACAGCTTCCAGGAGCACAAAAATTCTGAAGATTTTAAACAATGATAATTATAACTTAAGTATATATCATCAGAAAGAGAAAGTTATATTTAACAATTATTTAACCAAAAAATGTATCAATGAAAATTCAAATGAACACAAAATCTTGTCAAGTGTATGCACACAAAAAAAAGTAAATGCACTGTCTTCAATAAGCTAAGAAAAGTATATGCACTAAAGTATGTAAAGTATATGCACTGTCTTCAATAAGCTAAGAAATAAAATACTTTTCCGTCTACAGTAGCAACTTCCAAACTGCGAATTGAGAGGCCATTCTTAGAAGGTCATGAAAAGTTTTAAAGCACTCTTTTCTTGTTATATTACTACATATATCTGCCAGTGATAATTAATTAATTTTAAACACCAATTAACTGCTGATAATTGCTATGTTTGCTTATTATTGCAATACTTTTTAAAATTCTTCACCTGAATAATTACTACAATAGAAGTCCAGAAATCCTCAAAGCTTGGGACCAGAGGTTGTGTGGATTTTAGGATTTTGCGGATTTCAAGACAGAAAAGATAAATCATAATATTGTCTCCATCTTTTGAAGACTTTGCACTTTTTGCATTATCGTCAATGCAACGTGTTTACATTTTTCAACATTGCAAGCAGTAAAATCATGAGTGTGTTTCTTATCTGTAGTTGTATTAAAAAGGGCTGAAATTAAAAATATTCTTAATTTATCCACAAAATACATGGATAAAAAGAAAGGCAGCACTAAATAATCTCCTGAAATAACAAAGATCAGAAAATACAACAATGTGAGTCGTGAACTTGAAAGAAGAGTTGAGTGAATCGTCTGCTTTCTTACCTCGATGCAGATCAGAGGAGAAAAAACTTTTATCATGATGTCAATAATTTGGTATTTCCGTTACGACTCATTATTATTCGGTAAGTATTTTTTTCTTCGATATTTCGTACTCAATGTTGCGGTTTCCGGAACCTATAACCCGAATGTTTATATTTTGAGATGCAACGCGGATTTCAGGAGTTGGCAGATTTCAGGTCGGCGGATTTTTGGTATTTGATTGTATATATATATATATATATGCTTGTGACAAATTACAGCTGTTATGTATGTGGTTGCAAGACTATACTTGAGAAACAATACTCCACAGCATAAAAAAATTGGTGCGCATAAACACATTTCTGAACTGAAGCTCCTGATTTCAGAACTGAAACACTACAAATGATAAAAACTTCTACATTTTAACCAGTGCAAATACAACCTTTCCTAGCATTCTATCAAAACACTTAGAATCACTCAAAAGGGATATTAATAAGCTGCAATTTGAAGGACACATGAGTGTTCTCTCTTTGTCAGAAAGGGGGAATTGCTACCAAAAGAGGGAAAGTCCTCGTGCTATCGGGTGATTCTGTCATCAGTTGTTTTACATGCTCCAGTTCATATTCACAGAAATAAATGCTAAAAATTCCAATTGATTTGGAACCCGGAAACTAAGAACACTTAATTTTTTTCATATTCTATGAATTTTATGGGAACATCGCTTGCTTTGTTGCTCACTTTGAACAATAAGGTCACTAAAAATCATAGAACCATATTTTTAACCAAAAGCATTCATTTTGCAGTAGAAAAATGGTCAACAAGTTTCCACCCTATTTGAGCAGGATCTCCCCAGATCCATCTGTGATTTGTGTTCATTGTGTGTGATGTTACGTGTATTTGTGTGTTGAGATGACATTTGTGAATATTGTGTTCTTTCATACACAATTTTATTTTCTAAAATAAATTCCATTTTTTTAACACATATAACAATACATATAGATTTAAATCAAAAAGAATTGTAATAATTATTAATTACAGTACAATTATTTAAATAACTATAATATTAATTTCTTATATTATTATTATAACTAATCATTAAGAATTTTTTTTTAAAAGCTCAAAGACGAAAAAGATATATATAATAATTATTAATTACAGTATCATTACACTGATTTTTTATTATTGTAAAATTATTATAATAGAATTCATTGGAATGATACTGTAATAAAGAACATTATACAATAAACATAATTAAATATTTATAACAATAATTCTTATATAATAATAGTTCTTTATTACATTTTATCATAAAATTATCAATCTCTTGCAAAGTTAAGCTTCAAAAGCACTCGTATTCTAAGCAATAAATAAATACACAATATTAAACATAATGTAACGAAACAATTAATTACGAATGATGATCAGTGTATCATCTCAGATTACTTAAAAGTAATTTTCTGCCTTTAAAAGTTAATTATCTCTGAACACTGTGAAACTAAAGAGCAGAAGAATAAGGATGCAAAAAATCTCTACTGCATGATTCATGCCCATCCACACTATTTTGTGAATAAACGGTGTGAATATTTGTAATTATGGTTGCAACTGCCATGGTCAAACTGTACCTTACTTACTTAGGATAATGACAATAATTAGAATTGTGAACAATTAGATGGAAGGTTACATCACAGGCTGAGATGACCAATGAGTTACTCACAATGTCATTAGTTTATGGAATTAAGTTAGTTACTTAGTCTAAAATTTCAAGAAAGCAGCCCTCAGTTGCTACAACTACCAGGAGTTGCTCTTACATTTTTTTGCCTGTGTATGTACTTTGCTTACTGAAATGTCTGATAAACTGACTGATAATTGATAGCATGGCAAAGAAATGTTAAGTTTGCATTCACACCAGTAGTAGGCAAATCTCATAATAAATTTTTTTTTTTTTTTTTTTTTTTTTTTTTTTTTTTCATGAAAAGCACTTGCTGTCATTTTATCCTTTAATACAAATTTTGAAAAACTTCCTAACTGTTTCAGCAACACTAGAAGAACAATTATTCTAAAGCACATTAAATTATGTACTATCAACATCTGCTAATTTTTACTTTTATATCTTGTGTATCTTAATAGTTTGATCTAAAATGCATTTGTTCCCAATTTTTACAGAGCAACAAATTTACAATACTGAATACAAAACATGGTTTACATATGCTAGCATTCAGTTTATGTGCTTATCTAATCAGATATTCAATCCTTGGTTGAAACCCAACAACAAATATTAAACACTTAGACAAAAACATCTATTTTGAAAATTTTGAACAGCAAAATTGTGGGATAGTTATATAAACACAGAAAGCATACAATTGAGAATTTAAGTTCCTAAAAACAGCATCTTTTTGAAAATATAATGTGAAAGCAATTAAAAAAGTTAGAGCTGTGTCACCTATAAATGCATTTGTTTATATTTTCTTCGGAGAAAAAATAAAATTATGCATTTGGTTTTAAAGAGAGCACTTAAGCACTTTCATTTGAAGAAAAGAGGAATAAGTTCATAGACATATAGCTTGAGCATTACATAAGTTCACAACAGCTTTTCATTGGTGGATAGTTAATTAAAAGAGAATTTTATGCTACACAGAAATATGCTTGATTTATTTATTCCTTATTTTTCCTTCATACTAAAATTTTTACTTTAAGCATAGGCTTTATAACTTTTTGTATCATTACAATGAGGGCTTATGTACCATATGTATATAAAATACGCATATTAAATTTGATAATAAATGCAGCTCATGCTTACTTGCTGGATCAGTAGGATATGGGGTAGAAGTATAGGGAGTAGAATTTTGAATTTTTGGTTTGCTATACACAGGTGGTTGTTCCCCAAATACAATAATCATAACTTGAATAACTCCAAGTAAATCTGAAGCATCCTAAAAATGTAAAAAGAATTTAGAAAATATCTTTTCACAAGAAAAAAAATGAATTTAATTAAATACAAATTTAATTAAATAATTCTTTGCACCATTGTTGCAAGGAATGAAATTTAAATTTAAACAAATTAAATTTTAATTTTAACAAACACGTATAAAAGTAAAAAAGCAAATTTAAAGCCAAAATTAAAAAAAGCAAATTTAAAGCTAAAAAAATTTAAAGCTAAAAATATATATAAAAAATGTGTAAACATAAAAGATTTAAAAAGATTTAACTCTCGAACTAATCTACAATATCATTTAAATTCAGAAGCATAAGCAAATCAAGTGCAAAACCATTATATGAAAATAAATTCACTAATTTAGCAAATTAAAATAATATAATAAATGATACTGTAGATTAGTTCGAGAATTAAATCTTTTTAAATATTTTTTTAGCTTTAAATTTGCTTTTTTACTTTTATACGTGTTTCTTAAAATTTAAATTGTTTAAATTTATCTTTTCACAATATACATTTTACGATAAGACAGCTTAAACACACTTACAGGTTTCCAATTATGTAAGTATGGCAAATATATCCGTCCATTTGTGTCAACATGACGAGATGCTTTTATTTGCATATCTGAAGTAGGCTTTACATAACACATAGGGGAATTATAAGGGTAGGAATCAAGAAGCCATACACACACAGGTATATGATAGTATGTGCCTAAAAAAGACAAAGAAATGATTAAACATATAAATATTACTGGCTTGACTGTGGAGAGTATATGCTTATATGTGAAAAATGTTTTAAAAAAGGGAGGAGTTAATAATATGCAGTTTTATGTATTAAATGGATATTTTTAAAATAGTAACCCACCCACCCTCAAAATCCCAGCTAAAAATATGATAGTACGTTGTAATAACATAGCACTAAACAAAAAGCACAGTGGAGAAATAATAAAGTTACTACGTTGGTATATGCCTAAGAATGCCACTTTCAAATACTGGTATATGCTGCTTTCAATCCTAATGTAACAATATACAGTCAAAAGTCTTTAACCCGGACGTCCATAATCCGGAATGATCTATAATCCGGACCTCAAAGCTACAAACTTTCTGCACATGTGTAAAAGCATAATGCATATACGCATGTGCATAATACCTTTGTGCATGCGCATATGCATTTATGCATGTGCGTTTAATGTATAACGGACGATAAAAGCTAAGCTAAAATTATCTAATTATTTATTTCAGTTAATGTTGCAGATTGCATTGTTCCTTAATCTTCTAATTGGATCCGGCTTATTAGTTTTTGCAGACATATAGAGCAATTTTATAAAAGTAAGCTTGAACTTTCGATTATGTGAAAAAGGATTTCCGATTTTGGAGCTGCCAAAGGATCTACATAGCAAAAGCATGTTTCGATGTCCATCAAACAAAAAGTGGAATTGCTGCAAAAAATGGATAAAGGCATATCCTTTGTTTCTCTAACCATTCCAAAATCTGTTTATCAATTTCACGCTGCTCTGCAGGGGGAGGAACGTCGCGACGCGCAATGAACTGGAAGTTTATCTGTAAGCACTATACCTTCAGGGCAGATGTTTTTATTTCATTCGGCTTATAATTTATTAAATGTAGTATTTCATCTCGATGTACTCCGTCTTTGATACGATTTAAATCATATTCCTCGTCATTATAAATATCATGAATACACATCAAATTGTTTTCTGGTTGCAATTTTCTAATTTCGACTATGCGAAATGTATGCTTTACGCATGCGCGCGTTGAAAGAAATGTTTAATAAAGTAAACAAATAAATATTAAGCTTTTTTTCCGTAAAAAAAAAAAAAAAAAAAAAAAAAAAAAAAAAAAAAAAAACAAAATTATTTAAAAAAAAAAAAACAAAAAAAAAAAAATCATATTAAAAAAAAAAAAAAATGGCATGCCATTTACCAGATTAAATTTGAAAATCTATAATCCGGAAAAATGGATAATCCGGAATCGCCGAAGTCCCAACGAGTCCGGATTAAGGACTTTTGACTGTATAATTAATCAATACAACATTAATTGTCATAAAAGACTACAAACAGTTAGAATACAATACACAGGGTTGTTTAAGATAGTTTACTGGTCTGAAACACCTGTATTTTTTAAGCTCACAGACATAAAATGATGATTACTGATATATCAGATAAAAGAAAATATACTCAGTTCCCACTTAAATTCCAATCTATGTAGTTTTCAATGATTAACACTAAAAGCAAGCATATCAGGATAAATATACAGCAAATAAATATAAATAAGTTATTGCTAAGTTATTGCAGAGTAATTTCAATTCAAAATGACTGTGAGCTGTAAAGATGCTGAAATAGTGGCAATGATAATGCAGATTTGCCCTAAAGGTTTGGTTTGGTTTATTTAATTATGGCAAAGCACACTAGGGCTATCTGCTTAAGGGAAGGGATGCCTTCGTGGAAGACTTTTTAATGGAACTGACTCGTATACACGTTACACATGGGAAAAACCACGAAAATGCCCATGCAGCCAGCCCGTTCGTGGGATTCGAACCTCGGACCGAACTACCAGTGTTCAGCGACTTTACCGCTTGGCCGCTGGTGGGCTACTTATTTTTGTTTTGGCATTTTGCATTAGTTCACTATAAATGTCCACTTTTCAAATTGTTGCCATCAAATATTATCGCCCTGCATTATAGTTAAAGAAATTAAATAATGAAGAATCTGCATAAATGTATGTATATTTCTCGCACTGTGATAAATCAATGGTACCTAGAGCCATTGAATTTTGAATAACATAATCCTCCACCGAAAATGGGCATCCCGAATTTGGTTTTATTATCAAACTCAATGATTTAAAAGCTAGCAATGGCAACACTCTACAGGGGATGAAAGAAACCTTTTTATCTCCAGTGCACAGAACTGTGTATAAAATTTTTTTAAGATATAATCATTTTGTGATATTGCTGTTGAACTGAATTTTATGGTTTAAGTGCGAGGAACGTGATATTTAATAAATAAAGGTAACACACAAGACGAGAAAAAAACACCCCTTTGGACGTAATTCAGATTTTCTTTTTAAATCTGTTAATTCATCAGATCTATGCTTTCTTCCACCTTGTCCCAAGGATGATGGTTAACATTTGCCATCTGGCATCATGGCAGCATCTTGACATTTATTGTGAAATATAATATAAAAGAGAAACTAAGGCAGAAATAAATAATAAGGCCCTCTGACTGTGCCATTTCGGTATTATAACGTCTATTTTTTGTTGAAATTTTCTCCTTGCCTAAACAATTCTTATGTTTGCTAGCCATGATTTTACATTTGATCATACTTCTTTAGCTATTATTAAGAAAATTGTTACAGCTTTAAAAAAGTATTTAACATTTTAGTGCATTTGTAATGGAGACTGGGCAATTATTATCTTTTTTTTTTTTTTTTTTTCCCCTCTTTCCTTTCTTTTCTTTGGGGGGGGGGGGAATGGGCAGATACTTTCTAATTATCCACACCCCAATAAAAAGTCATGAAGAAACATTCAGGAGGCAAAGCAATATATCAGCAAAAAGCATTTATGCAACACTGTATACATGGAGAGAACAGCAGTACAAAAAGATACTCAGGTATGTGCAGTGCATATGCGTGTTTGATCAGTGCCCAAAATCAAAATTCTATGATGCTGGAGCTTATTTGATAGTCTGCTCTTTTATGTGAAAACAGATCACTGGGTACATGGGAAGAACAACAGTACAAAAGGTACATGCTGTACTACAGATGTTTCTTGTCATTTTAAATTTATTGATTGACTGCTTTGGCATAGAACTCAGTGCGGCACCATCTTGAAAATGGCTGTTGTCTTTAATGTATTAGCTTGATGAAAAATTAGTCACCAATGAGTCCACAAATGCTCTCCAAAGTTGCCAATGAGATTGTGATGTTTGGGTGAGGGTGCGGAAAATCAGAAAATAACTTTTTTAACATTCTTATTTTATTTTATATTTTTTAACATATACAGTATATAGTTTACACAGTTTGAAATTAGAAATATAACTGATTAAAAAAATTATCAAAAAACAGTTAATTATGTTAGAGATTCAGAATAAGCTTTATTTAAATGATTTTCTTCACAATATTCGATGATACAAATGGCAAAAATCTGTGACTATTAGTTTTATCAATAAGTGAAAATACATGCAAAAATAAATAAAATGCACTAATAATAATACCAATTTCAAAATAAACTAATTTAAATCGAATTGTGAAAAACCATTCTGAGGTACAAATTTTCACCGTATGAGAAATATGTAGTACACTTCTTGAACTATATGTTCAATGTTTCTACTACTAAATATACTATATGTTCTAAGGCATATTTTTCTTTGAGCTAAGTGATTAACTTATACAGATACAATCTCTATTTTACTACTATGTATACTTATTTTAGTCTTTATTATTATGCATACTTATTTTAGTCTCAAAATAAAGATGTCCTTAAGTTAACGAAAAACTACTCGGTTCCTAAAATTCTAATCAGTTATATAGATCAAAATTTTATTATTGCCCAGAATAAAAAATTTAACTACACTTAATTTCACTAACTGCAAAATATAACCAGATTATTCAAAAACTTTTTAGTAAAAAATTACATCAATATTTTGCTAAAAATTCAACTTTTGTTTAATTTTTCATGGAAATGATTATAAGCATTTAAATTAAAATTTCTGCATAGAATATGAATGTAGTTTAGTAAATAATGCTTATCAAAACTACCGTTCAAGTTATTTCACCTTTCAGAACAAAGAGTAAGGTAAAGAAAGTCTCAAATACACCAAAACAAACACACTTTAAAAGACTAAAAATGGGAAGAATATTTATGCTCAGATTTTTTTGGTTTATAAAACTATACTATCCATACCAAGAACTGAATGACAAATGAAATGAAATGAAAATTTGACAAATGAAACAAATGAAAATTTGATTTCAGCGCATTTATAATTGATGCTTTTTACACATGTACAGTAGAATTCCAGAAATTTGCAAAGCTTGGGACCAGAGGTTGTGCGGATTTTAGGATTTTGTGGATTTCAGGACAGAAAAGATAAATTATAATATTCAGACTAAAAGTGCAAAATAAATAAGGCATATTAGATACATTTAATTAAATTATTATATATATTATTGCAATAACTTATTATATGAATTATTATTACATATATAAATTGATTATGTTATTCATTGTATTATATATACACAGCATCGAGGTTTGCCAATTTCGGCTCATGCAATGATTTCCCGTTTCGGTTTCCGGTGTTAGAATCACAGTTGCTGTAAAATTTCAACAGCTTTCTTTATTTTTCCGTATATCATACACAACTGTATCACAATTCCATATGATTCTGCTATAAACCGAGGAGTAGCACCTATCTCTATCTTTTGCAGAATTTGCACTTTTTGCATTACCGTCAATGCAAAGTGTTTACGTTTTTCAATGTTGCAAGCAGTAAAATGAGTGCATTTCTAATCTGTAGTTGTATTAAAAAGGGCTGGAATTAAAAATATTCTTAATTTATCCACAAAATATCCGGATAAAAAAAAAAGGCAGCACTAAATAATCTTGTGAAATAACAAAGCTCAGAAAATACAAAGCTTGAAGTTCGTGAACTTGAAAGAAGAAGTTGAGTGAATCCTCTGCTTTTCTTACCTTCGATGTAGATTCAGAAGGGAAAAAAATTTATCATGATGTCAGTAATTTGGTATTTCCGTTACGACTCATTATTATTCGGTAATTATGATGTCATTATTCGGTAAGTATTTTTTCTTCGATATTTCGTACTCAGTGTTATGGTTTCCGGAACCTATAAACTAAATGTTTATATTTTGAGAGGGAACACAGATTTCATGAGTTGGCGGATTTCAGGTCCGCAAATTTTCGGTATTTGACTGTATTAAAAAAAGGACACACAATAATAAAAATTTAGCTAAAATGAAAATTGTAATGATCATATTAAAAAGGGTTCGATACTTATAACCTTAATATACTCATATTAAAAAAATTAAAAGTCAAGGGAGAAATTTCAGTTAAGAATTGCATGTAACTAAGCAAAATTAAAAACAAAATTTATGCTTAGATACTGTAATAAGTATATCACTCAATTACAAAGTTTGCTTTACCTTTATACATCACTGGAATTGTGCCATCGAGGCAAGCTAATTCTTGTCTACTTCCATCATTAAAAACTGTAATGGAAACAATGCATTAATTTTACAAAGTAAACACTACATTATAACATTTTAAAGTTTTAAATCTTAAAAAACATATTATAGTTGCAGTGACCAAAATGCAAAAATAAATTCTGTAAATTACAAAATAAAAGTTTGAAATTAATACTACTGTAATCTTTGACAACATATTTTCATGTTTTAATGATTCCCACATAACAGAAGTAATATTTATGAGCAGTAGCACATGTTCAAACGTAATACCACAAATAAGAAATTATTCCAATTTTATAAAAAGGTTATCATAAAATAATCATACATAATGGAAAGCTAGTAAATACAAGACTTCTATAGAAATAACAAGACATAAATGCAAGACTTCCATGAAATTATCACCACAGTAACAGAGTTCAAATGATTTTTAACCCGTAAATGGGGAGGTGCGTAACTGGGGAAGTGTGGTCTCTAGACTGCTACAGGTGTTGTTCTTATCACCCCTATTCTATATTTAGTCTGATTGAGTGGATCATCCTGCTAGCTTCTCCTTTTGTGACTTTGATAATTCTCACATATTGGCTAACATTTTTTGCACCTGCTTCATTGTGAAATTCTACTCCATTGTCTGAGAGCCGTATGTCAGACCGCACCTCCCTCTCAGTGTTAGGATTTCTGTCACAGGTGGAAACATGGCTCTGAGAATCGGTCCGAGAAATATCTTATATCCTTCTAATTCGCGTTATGCAGAAGTGCTGTAAAGAATTCCTGATGAAGTGGAAAGTGAATTTAGCGATGAAGATGAATGCCAAGAAGATTTTGCAAATGAAAGATCGCGTTCCCCGACATCAGAATTTTCTGAATCTGACAATGAATACACTGAACCAGAGACTGAATCCATTTCATCTATAAAATATTATCATGGAAGGAACCGCTTCAAGTGGTCATCTATTGAACGTCAACGAAATGTGAGAACTCCCGCCCATAATATAGTTCATTTTCCAGGATTAAGAGCATATGAAAAATTAGGTGAAAATACGGATCCTAAAAGCATTTGGGATGTCCTTTTCACAAACGAAATACTAGAGAAAAAGAAAGAACTGAAAACTTTGTATTTATGCGTAAGTTGTAAAACGCCAGTTTGTTTGGTATGTACACAAAAATTATGTCACAAACGTGCACAAGAATATGCTGAGTAAGTTGATATCTTTTGCAAGAACAAAATGGTATTACTGATAGTAAGATACTGTCATTTTTTTGTGTTTCGTACAATATTTGTATTTTTCATCTATCACAAGTTAAATTAATGGAAAAAAATTATTATTCATAAAATATAATAGTTATTCAGGTTTGTCTTGCATAACTTACATTTGCAAGTGGTTTTCCATAAAAACAGTTCATGTTGCAGAAAAGATGTTCCTAATGTTGATTGATTTCTTTGTAATTTCTGTTTGAAGATAAGTGTTTATAGAATGTATGGGTAAAATAAAATTTTAATATTTTGATTAGAACATTTGATTTAAACCATAACGAGATGCTGTCTCTGTGACTGCACGTCCCCGGTTATGTCCCAATTTTTGACCTCCCCTGTTACGAGTTAAACAAGAATTAATTAAGAATTACAATGAAATTATAATAAATAAAATACTAACAAAATGTTATTCACAGCGAAATCGAGTTATTTTTTGAAAAATGCAATGTGATTTTCAGACAATTCATTTAACACAGGTTATAAATAAACCAGTAGCAGCATTATTAGAAGAATAACAGGAATATGCATTAGCAAGCAAAGGCTTGTGACCCTGATGCATTACACTACTAAACAAATGTAAGGTGGGTAACCGAGATCATCCATCATTTTTTCTGATGAGCAGGATGAATTAAAGGGTTATATCTCACTATGCTAGACCTGACTTTTCTGAGAAATACGATTCTAGTAGCATTGGTTTAAAAGGAAGGATTCCTAGATGAACCAGGTCCACTGGAAGCAATGTCCCACCTAGCTATGAAAACGATTTTCCAGCTATATGGGATATTTTAAAACTTTGCCAAAACTGTTTTGTTGCAGATGTGTTCCGCATAGGGGTTAACTAATCAGATGAAAGTTCAGCTTTTGAAGGATTGTGGAATTTTCCAATATGGAGATAACTGTAGATTTAAAGAAAGAAATACGAAAAAAAAAAAAAAAAAAAACCACGCATATTTATATATATATTGCTGTTTTTTTATATATAACCATCTAATATGGCAATGGCTCTAGTTCTGAGGCCATGGACAATAGAAGACGATTTTATCAAAGAAATACAAATAAATAAACAAATCTGAAAGCTTTCAGATCTTACATTACACCCAAAGGGACTTTTTATAACCTTTTGCGTGTTATGTTTATTTATTAAATATGTTCTTTGCACTTAAACCATAGAATTCAATTCAACAGAAATATCACAAAATAATTTTAAAATAAGCATATCTTTAGAATTTCCGATACACAGTTTTGTGCACTGGAGATAATTTTTTTTTCATACCATTGTGCCATTGCTCACTTTGAAATCACCGAGTTTGTTAACCAAAAATTCATTGAAGTGTTAGAAAATATGAAGATGATAATAAAACAAATTTCAAATTCCAAATTAGGGCTTTCAGATAACTATATCTGGTGGAAGATTATGTTATTCACAGTTCTAGGTACCATAGTTTCATCACAATGCAAGAAACATACATACATTTATGCAGACTCTTCGTTATTTAATTTCTTTAAATATAATACACGGTGACAATATTTGGCAGCAACAATTCGAAAAGTGAACCAACATTTTAATTTCCAATGCAAGAATTAAATAAATTAATAGCACTTTTGGGCTAAAAAAAGAAAAAAAATCATATATATATATATATATATATGTCATAACAAAAGAAAGGAAAAGCCGGAGAATTGTAATAATAGCAAGGAAAAGATGGAGCATTGTTGATGTTTACGTAGACCCATATTGAAGAGGAAGAATTCTGATTGCGTAAGTATGCTAATGATATTGACTTCACAATATCTAAAAAACTTGGCAGTCAAGGCAGTTTTAATTCCATTTTTATTTTCCATTTGACGTTTGTGGCCACAATCACTTGGCACTTGAGTTGTGCCTAATCAAGAACATTTACATTTTTGATATTATTGCAACAGGAAGCAGCACAGCGAAATTACATCCAAACAGAGTAGAGACAGAAATTGAAGTGCGTAGTTATACAAGATGGAAGCACATGAAGAGAAAGTTTTAGGTATGAGTTTAAAGTTTTAGTTCTCATTTATTATGTTATTAGCGCTGCGCAGGCTATGTAAAATCAAATGACCTAGAAATGAAGCAATCGGGAGAAGTTATTACGATTTTTAGAAAAGAGAGAGAGAACTAATGCTTTACCATTAGTTTAAATTATAATTTTGATTTACGTATTTTTTATCTTGTGCGCACACACACACACATATATACGAGGGTTGGAACTTTAATAGTGGCAACACAGCTGAAAAAATGCTACGCAACAAAACCAAAGAATATCACGTATACCACACATGAACTACATACTTACCTTACCTCTCAGCAAAAAGATTTGTCCTGCTTATGTCACGCGCATGCGGAGTGACGCGAAGAACGGATCCTTGTATTAGCTAGCAGTCTAAAGTAAGTGTTGTCAGGATGTTTTCAAAACAAGAACAACGATGTTGGATAAAAACTGAATGTGCCAGAGGTCGTACAGCATGACAGTGTCATCAAGGGCTTCAAGAGGCTCTCAGGGAATCTGCATTGCCTTACAGAACCGTAGCAAGATGGGTGAAAGAATTCAATGAAGGACGCCCAAACGTGGCAGACATGCTGCGGCCAGGTCGTTCGAGTGTCAGCGATGCAGACGTGCAAACTGTCGCCACATGATTCGTCAGCTGGCCGGACAAACAGGATTAGCGCATAAGACTGTGCTGCACATTCTAAAGGAACGCCTCTTCATGAGAAAAATTGCTTCACGATGGGTTCCACGGATGGACGGAAATTGACGGAAATGCAGAAATGGTTACAATACTATGCTGCCCAAACCCACCTGGAGTGCTATGAGCGCGAAAGAGATGCTTTTTTATGACGTATCATTACGTTGGATGAGACTTGGACCCGATCGTACCAGCCAGAACTGAAACGCCAATCAAACGAATGGCATCATCACGGGTCACCACGACGTTCGAAATTTCGTCAGACCCCCAGCAATGTGAAAGTTATGGTGATTCTTGTGTACGACTGTGATGGTGTTATCCTAACGCATACCGTTCCCCCACAGCAGACCGTCACTGTGCAGTATTACTGCTCATTTTTGGAGCACAATCTCTGACCAGCTTTGAGAAAAAAACGGCGACACTTTCTGTAGAATGCTCCTCTCATTTTGCATGACAATGCTCGGCCGCATGCAGCGCAAGCTGTGACTGATTTGTTCAAGCGATGGGGCTGGGAAGTGCTTTACCATCCACCATACTCTACTAAGATGAAGGAACCTAAGATGAAGGATACTAAGATGAAGGAACCACTTCGTGGCACTTGCTTCCAAACTGTTCCTGAGATTCTTGCGGCAGTAGACCGGTCCATTCAAACTATCAACAAAACAGGCGCTGCTACAGGTATTCTGCGACTTTCACATCGTTGGAAACGGTTTGTACACAATGCTGGCGACTATATTGAAGGACTGTAAAACATGGTGACATGAATCACTTTTGTATTCCTTGTAAATAAATAGGTGCCACTATTAAAGTTCTAACCCTCATATAATATACCATCTAAGTCATTTTTAAAATGTTTATGTACTGATTAAATTTATAACTATGGAAATTTCAAGATAGGCAGTATTTTATGGCATTCTTGTTCTTGATAATTTGTTTACAAATTATTCATTGCCAAATTTGTTACATTTCGTTTTGATCCAAACATAACATGTAGAATTATTATTATTATTATATAACAATTTTAATTTACTAAATTTAAAATGACTAACTTCTAAAATATGTTTATTTATGTGTGGCTTTACTTTTCTACTAATTATTTATCCTTCAAATTGTTTGTTGATTACATAATCAGGGGCATATTGTAAACAACATCAGAGGTGCATAAAAAAGGAAATCACTGCTTATATAGTGCTGAGAATAAATTCGCATGCAATTTTATGTTATTAATGAAATACTTTTTAGATTATAGATACATTAGAAATGCTATTTTGATTGTAAATGTTACATGCTAATACATTTCAAATTTATGGATTTATTGGTATTATTCCGTTTTGAGGGCCGTAAAAAAAATGCAGCGAAAATGCGCAAAAGCGGCAAATGTAGCAAACGCGCCCATTTAAACAGCACGCTAAATATAGCGCACGTGCTGATTTCAGATTCGTAAGTTTATATAGTTCTACATTTCTTAAGATGCCATTGAAATACTAGTTTAATTTTTAAATCCTTTTTTGATTTTAAATCCTTTGTTGATATCCTACGGATTTAACAATTTGGGAATTGCCCATGACGAAAAGTCTAAAATAAAATTTTGGGTAAAGTGCAGAATCACCCACTACTTGATGCGTTTTTAAGAATTGCACATACTCGGTATCCATGTACACATCGACCTATTTTCACTTGAAAAAAAATCTCAGAATTGCACAAAAATGGCACTGTGCACTTTATCTATGTACACATCGACCTATTTTCACTTAAAAAGTAAAAGAAAATTGACAAAAATCCAATTGTTTTTACCCTTGTAAAAAGCAGCAAAGAAATAAGTGAGCGATTCTGCACTTTTTCGAGAATTTTTTCAAAGAAAAGGCATCATTCATTATAGAAAATTATGCTTGAACAACCAACGAGATGAAATTATGCTCTAGCGATAACTTGGTAGCAAAATAGCGATGCAGGCTCCATTCAGTTAGGTTTAACAATTTTTATGTAAATTATAATAATGATCTGAAATAGTTATTTACTCTTATGCTTCCATTCACTCATGTTTAGCCTTTTTTACACAAATTATAATAATAAAAAAGTATTATATGAATTTAACCTTTCATCTAAATTAAAACATCAACCTTAAATAGTTATTTACTATTATGCTTCCTTTCTTGCGTTAGGGTTGCCACAATTATTTTTGGCAGCACTGGCATCAAGAATAGTTTGGCGATTTATTATTATGCATGATGAAAAACATTTGTATATGTATTCATTACATTAATGCTAATAAACATACTTCATGATCCCCACCTTTCTATTATCTTCCATAATAACAAGATGGTAACCTAGCTATGTAGATTTCATAGAAATGGGGATTCATGGGGGGGGGGAACGCACTGCTCCATGTAGCGATAGTAGATGTGATTGTCATGTAATTACTCCATCTTTAGGTAGCTACAAAGCATATCTGGCAAAAAATGTAATGAAATAATTTTCTTAATACAACTGGAATCACTGTTTATGTTTCGAATTAATTTTGTTTTAAAGAATAAGTTCACAATAAAAATTTTGAGAAAGGATTAGCAATCTATCCATTCTCAATATTGATAGTGGTCTTGGTGTAAAGTCTTCTTTCCACTCACCATTGATGGATTACAAAAGAATTAATTTCAAAAGCATTTTCTTTCAATAATAAAACAGGATGGCAACTCCTAAAGAACAAAACTATACAGATACCACAATGATAGAGACACATTCTCACAGCATATTATCACCACTAATTAAAAAAAGGTATGGCCTTAGATTTCCAAACTAAAGCATGAATTTAATGAATGACATTAGCAAAGATTACAATGCTCAAATCTGATATATGCATAGGAGAGTGAAGTTATGCTAATAGTGGCATATGACAATTAAGGTGCCATTTTTAATCATGCTCCATTAGTGCATGAAAATGTCAACATCACTCTTTCTACCTGTGTTCAGCTATGCATTGCAAGGCCTATATTTCTAAAGATGAAATCAATCTGCCTCCTCACATCTTCCACTACAATGCATGACATGTTTCAGAAGCAGTGATCTACTTCTTACAAAGGTGACATTAAGAATTCTACGAACATCCTTAATATTTCCCAACATCAACTGTTGTAATTAGAATTTTCAGGATTAAAAGAACCCATCAGAGGCACCAGTTTTCCTGGGATTCATTCTATGCAAAACAAGTCCCATTACTGTGATAACAAAAAACCACCTCGATAACAGTCTATGGGTTTGGCAAACAGTGGAGGATCTTGCTGACAATTACAATGAAAGGATACAATGGAGTTTTGTACTACTTATGTTACCACTAATTTATTTACAACCTTCATATTTTAACCAGTGAGTTTTTTCATGATGGCTTTGACAAGATAAAGAAATGGCACCAGTGTAATTCGAACTTAAGAAAATGTGATTTGCTACCAAATGCTATAAACAACCATGAAAACGAAACAGAAAACTAGGAATTGCTCTGGTGATGCAACTTCCAATCTCAATATGCTTTACATTTTTTTTTTTTTTTTTTTAGTTCAACTATTTATCACTGCTAAATTAATAAAAAAAAAAATTTAAAGACTCTTTTATCTAAAATCATTTGGAATTTGGGCATAAATCAGTCGTCTTCTTATAGCCAACGATGAGCAGAATGTTTATTTTTAAAGAACTTCTGTAAATCTGAAACATACTTCATTAAATCATTGTCATAATTTCAACACACAGTTTTAATATGCTGAAAGTCCATATGCAAGATGATCAAAATGACACCTATCTGATTTTAGTTTAGTATGTTGCTGATTCATTCATTTTATTTTCATTATCAACACAGATCACAAAAACTCTTTTAGTTATATCGTCCTTTCTACTTAAAACTGCTCTTTAAGCAAAGAAGCACAATTTTCTGCAGTTTCTCTCTGCACCATAATCATCATGTAAGTTTTTTTTTTTTTTTTTTCCTGTGTGAAGAAACCTTACATGATGATTCTGCATACAAAGACTACATCTCACTAATCATCAAGAACCCAAATAATTGTTTCTTTTCTAACACTTCCTTCTATAATTGTTTTTTAAACCATTATGTACTTCACTTATTTTAGTTTAATTCAAAGTTCTCTACTTATTAATTAATCACAGATATAAATTTAATTTTTAATGGGACATACGAAAAAAATTCTTTCTTTACAAATCTGGAATGGTGTCCTGAAGTCACGATTTTTTAAGACAGCTAGCTGCCATTATTGAATCTCAAGCACATGCACAATAATTCCAGATAAAAACATACTGATGTTTAATTACCATCAAAGCAAAAATAACTTAATTACATCATTGAATTTACTACAAATAACGTACTCACCATAAGTATCTAACTTCGGCCTTAAATTCTTATACTGATGAATGGCAGCATGCACATCACGTTTTGCTCGATCTGGATACTGGTACTAGTAAAAATATATGCATTTGTACAAATAAATATTTTTCAAGTCTTAGTTATTTTCACATAAAATTTTATACCAAAATAAAATTTATATGTGAAGTTATAATATATAAAATCAATTCAGATTTGTCACTATGAGATTTATCGAATTTTATACGATTAAATTTAACTAACTACTACTCATTTAGAAAAAATGCAAATTACCTTTGACAAAATTTTAGCTACATAACTATCAATTTTTTCTTCTTGAGGCATTTTGCTGCCTGAAAAAAAATAAGGCATATGAAATATGAAACTAAGCATAGTAAACTGTAACTCAGAGCACAGTTTCATTAAATGAAATAGGACAATCTTCTTAATGATAGATTAACTAAAGCTTAATTTTCAATTACTAGTGGTATTACATAACTTACAAAATAAATCAAATTTTGCATCTTAGTTATACAGGGAAAAACTAGAACTTACTAGCTTTGAGTATATTTATCAAGACTCATTGCATAAAAGCAGATATTGGTGTAGAATTTTACCAACAATTCTTGCCATTAAAAAATAATGCAATAAACGTAAAGATCTAATTAAAATTTGTCATTATGCTTATCAAAACTTTAAACCAGTATTGTATTGGCGATATGTGTTTTTGCGCTGGTTTTTAGCACAATTGCGTGTTGTATGGCAACCCTTTAACGTTGAAAACTCTTTTGCTGGAGTGACTTAATTGCTCATTGGTTCGTGCCGTGCGTGTTTTGAAATGGCCTATGTTGCAATGAGAGATGTGGTTGCAAAAGGGTATGGGAGATTACTTTTAGTGGCTGTGCATGACAGAAGTAAAGAAACGCGATGCAGTGTATTAGAGTCGATTGTACAACTATTTTTTCGAATGGCTGGAAATCTTACAAGAATTTAGGAAAAGAAGGTTTTGAAAATTTGTGAACCATAGTATGAATTCTCTAGATAGTGTGTCTGGCTGTCATATAAATACAATAGTGATTACGTGGCGACATGTTAAAGGCAGTATGAAATTAGTATTTCTCCTGTTCGAAAAAGCATTCATTCATGGTAAGTTCATTTTATTTTATTCTTGTTCTTACTTTGTAGAATGTTATGTTCATTGTTTTTTAGTATGAATTTCTGTAGTTATTGTCGTTTTTTTAATTGTTTGAAATTTATTTTACTTATTTTAGTTTATTTTGTCAATTAGTATGTAGTGCCTAGATTGTGCAATTTGTAGATGTTTTTTAAAGTTAGAACATATCGCTGTGTACATGGATTCTTGTCAAATATTTTTTGTCAGAAACTTTACGTTTTTGCTATCTAAATTTTTTGTTTTCGTTTCGGATTTTTAGATTAAACTGCGTGTTCAAAACGTGGTTTTTGCATGTGTGAAAACCGTGTTTTCGGAGACATTTTAGGCTTAAAGTTTGAAATGTAGAAAAAAAATTTAGATAGTAATATGGCAGCGTGGAATTTCTCACCAAAGATGTTTGAGAGAAATTTGTCGCCGCATTTCGTGGCCTGAGGGCGCACATTATCCGTACTTCCAAAAAGTCACGAAAAAGCATTCATAACGGAATCCAACAAGTTGTCAAAATAGTTGTGGTAACTTATGATGTCAAACCATACTTATGTAACAACCCAGATATACACATAATACATGTCTGTTTAAGTATATATGAATTTACATTTTTGAAGTTAAACTGCCATTTTTCTGATTACTATTTCCTTTTGTATTGAGTATATTTGTTTTACTAACAACAAATCGAAATAGGGAGTTTGCTGCTAATGAAAAGAAAGCATTACATTTCTTTGGGAGCATTTTGCCAAATAATAAGAGAATGATAAAATTCACATTAGTTTTTGAAAATACAACATGAAAATTGCAAACAAATTGTTAGAATGCACATTAGAAACTGGTTTAAAGACAGCCATATCATTTACAGCAAATGACTGCTATATTTACTGTTGGCTGGTGTCCAGTGCCAAATCTGTGCAATTTTCTAGGCTTTTTTTTTTTTTTTTTTTTTTTTTTTTTTAGACAAAAGAGATTGCTACACACATTTACAAGCACAAAAAAATTACATTTTAAAAATTTTATTGATTAATTGTGTGACTTTTTGCTGGGGATGCAGATAATCAGAATGTAGCTAAGAATTTCTTATTACACAATATTTATTGTACCAGAAGTACTATTTGAATCAATATTTTACAGTTACATATGTACTAGCAGAGTACAGTTTTTCCAGCATTTAATACTGACTACTCAGTACCTTATACAATCTGTGAAAAAATATTTTCCAATATAGTAATAAGATCAGAATTTAAATACAAATCAAAAGTTCCTATGTATTTACATATGTTTTAATATTTTTCCCAGTCTTGTTTGTAATTCAAAATACCTTTGCCATTCTGTACCTGAACTTTATTAGATGTACATATATATATTTACTTAAAACATATTATGAAAAATATATACAGCTTAGCTAATTTGAAAGTTAAATGTGTACATATATTATGCATTAGAAATTATGAAATTTCTATACAATCAATCTATTATAACAAGATTAAAACCTCACACAAAATTACCCCCCCCCCCCTCTTTTTAACCCTCTGAGCAGCCAGGGTTTTTGATAAGAAAGTACAAATTTCCTGGTATTTTATACCTGGTCTTGTGTACTTTTGATATAGTGCCTTAATTTCCTTGACATATTTTAATATGCACACATTCTTATAGGTATCACAAAAAATATTCCCTTAATATTTCTATATATTCAAAAAATATTTGCCATTTAGAGGGTTAATGCTTTTTATGAACTGAAAATAATGTAATTTTATAATAGGCAGTAATGGCAACTCTCAAATGTTCCAATATCAATAAACCTCTTACTAAAAAGAAAAACATAAATGCAAGCAATAGTCTAGTTCTTTCCCATGCATGCAATTCTACTGTATTGCTATACAAAACTTATTATAATGTTATCCCAAACATGTTGAGTTTTAAACAAAATAAAATCATATTTCTTACATAATAACAAAGATTTTACCCGGTGACTAAAATTAGTTTGCTTTTTTTAGAAAACAAACTACTGATCAAAGAAAATAAATCAGTGTTTGAATACTAGTAAAATACATGTATATGGAAGAACATAAAAATATCCATTTATTAATCAAAAATGTTTTGACTCTACATAAATGCAAAACATAGAAAAGGAAAGAATCAATATAAAAATTAAACATACTTTATAATAAAATAATATTGAAAGTGTGCAGTGTATTATTAGAAACTAAGAAATACCGCTGTCAAATCTTGAATCATAATAAGTAAATGAAGGTTCATTTAACTCAACTTACACCTTTTAAACACTGTATGCATAAATAGAAAAAAGTAAGCTAAAACACACACAATAAAAATTGAGATATAATTATGTACTACCCTTTTTTTTCTCAAAGGACTACTATTCTTTTCACTCATATAAATAAATAGATCCCACATTCCTTACTTATTTATATAAACACCTCAGATTCAAGGGGGGGGGGGGAAGCTGTTTATAATAAAACCAACTTCATACATAATGTGTAAAGGTATTTAACCAGAGAAATGTAAAAAAAAAATTCTAAACAAAACAAGAAATGTTGCATATGAATGTACAATATTATTCAATTGCAGTAAAAGATTTTACGTACAATTATTAAATTTCGTTTCGTTAACAAATTATTACATTACACTATTTTAAATTATATCATTAATCCTGAAAAATACTTACAGAAATGAAAAAAAAGTTAACGACATATCAAAATTTAATATGATCGATAATTTGTGGTAACTGAAAAAGTGACTCATCGATGATAATGATGTAAAGGCTATTACTAACTATGATGAAACGAAGCAAGATATAATTAAGCAAACTGAATGCATTTCATACCTAGAAATAATATGTCAATGAAGAAGAACGAAACAAATTAATTCAATGCACCCTTGTCGTTATTTCATAATAAAAATCCAAAGTGTCAAATATTGTTATTTAATCAAAACTTTATTATTATTCAAATAACAGTTTTTATCATAGAATTCTCCTTACCAGTTTATTTATATTCAGTCGAAGAAAAAGACTTACATTAACAATGTTTAAAATGCAGTTTCATTATGTGATTTTAGTTTTATTTCAATAGATTACAATTGATAGTACTCTAACACTGAAACAAAGTACAAGAGAATTGTTGCCAGATACATCACACTGATAATCTGTCACATGCAAACAGTGATCATTTATGTTAGAAATTTGTAAAATTCAGATAATTTTAAGAATTTGCTCAACTTTGTTTGCCTTAATATTTTAATAATCTTTGATTTTTCAATAATTTTAATGTTTGCAAGGAAATTTTTGCCCTCTAGTGGCCTAGCACTGAAACACAAATATTCTTCACAAGAATTCGCAAACACACCATTTATTATGTTTTTGCGAAAGATAATTCATGTCAGTCAATTTATAACAAAGCCTTGTGAATTACCCAGAAATTGAATAAATCCATATTTTCTTTACTTCCCAAATGCCAACAGTGAGATTACTTTGATTGAAGTTACTTTGATTCATTATGGCCTCGTAGTCTGAAGAAAAAGCATTCTGAGTTTGAAAAAATTATTTCTCACCAGGAGCAATACGAGAGGGGGGAAGAATTCTTAAGGCATCCTATCGGGAGACCACAAAACCTTAAGAATGTTCAAGAACAACATTCAGAATTTTTTTTAAAAAAATCTAAAATGTGCTCTGCTTTCAAAATGTTAAAGTTTGTTGTGATTTGGACCTTCCAAGAATCAGACCCTAACTTATATTTAGCACTAAAGACTTTTTAACAGTGTGTGAATCAGTTGATTCTTGCAAGACAGTTGCTTAAGATGAAGCTGATTAAAAGCTTTCATCTATCGACAATGAGCGAAGTAAGACTTAACGGTTTGCCAAAACTTTTCATTGAAAATGCAGTAGCTAAAAACATCAGTTTTGATGAAGTTATAACAAAAAATTTGGGATGTCAAAACTCGCATAGATTAGAAAAGTTGAAAACATTTTTATTAACGGAAAACTTGAAAACATATGTAAATCTTAAAAAATGGCAGATTAATAAGCTTTTTTCAAGTACAGTTTGTCTGCAAGATACGTTTATTTCGAGTTATATTACATATTCCAGTTCTTTAGCCAACTGTCAGGTGATTGGGTGTGATTTTGTAAGTGTTAGATGCTGGACTAAGGAAACCACTTTGAGCAAGGTTCGATGTGTAGCAGGATACATTGCAAGCGTAGTTTTTGGTATGCGTGGAATGTCATTCAAATAAATACTGATTACAGTGGAACCTAGGAAAATCTTAGCGGCTCACTGACTTGTCTCGCCATTATGTTTAGTTGGTGGGGATCCTTACAGCAACAGGACTAGTATACTTCAAATAGCTGTGAGTTACGTGAATATATTATTGTTATTTTATTTTCGGAGAATGTTGACCGTTGGAAAGAGAAAGTTTAGAGAAAGTCAATTCTTCATTAAGTACACCAGGATGGAAAACTGAAAAGCATTCTTCAAAACACTCCTACGAAAACTGGGTTAGGGCTTGTTCCTGCAGCAACAAACAGCTGCAGACTATCTGTCGAGGGCTTTTCTTATGATACGCAGATAGTAGCAAGGTGGGTGGAATATGTCCCAGAGATGTGAATGACAAAGTGTCTGCGACAGAATTTAATGGTGTTTTAATGTAATCTGGAAAGCTCAGATTATGTATTTTGTATATGAATTCTCTCAGCCAGATACTATCGAAAGCTTTGGCAACATCGGGAAAGAGACCACTTGTGACGTTTTTTGAGTCTACTTCGTGGGTTACTTCGATCACTCTAAAGTGGATATTATTGGTTAAAAGGTGGATAAGTTATTCCGGAACCCAAATTGATGAGGTATGATTATTTTGTTCGCATCTGAATGACTGTGAATTCTAGTAAAAAGAGCTGTTTTCTTTGCTCATACAGGGTAACAGACGTAGGATTGATACGATTCCGGAATCGTAGGTGTCTTGATGGGCTTCAGTATTGGAGTGATGGTTGCAGTTTTCCATTCTTCCAGGAAGTATTCAGGATCAGGTTCAATACATTAGTGAGCTTAAATATAAGCTTGTTATGAAACATCTTGATCACTTTATTAGAAATATTGTCAATTCCAAGGCATTTCCTGTTCTTGTAGCCAGAGGTTTCAGACCACAGAAGTAGAACGACGTTATCTACACATGGATTTGTAATGAAGGTGGGATGTGTGGTGATGGCGATAAGGAGCGCGCCTTGCGCCCTCCGATAAGTGTGGCAACCCTAGAGGAGAAGTTTCTTACGAGTAGCGAGCAGAGCGAAACAGGCAGGCTGTCGGGGAGTATGCGCGATGTTCCTAAATAAAGTTTAATTTTTATTGTGCACTATGTCTTGTTAATATTTATATTAATGCAGTAAGAACATAATCTGTGATATGGAATTTGAGGATTGGTGGTAAAAAACATAACAAGGAAATCACCATAATGGTAACCTGGACTGTGTTAAATCAGGCCGTATGAACAGTTCTCAAGCACTTTCGGTTTTGACTACAAGCCATCACTCAAGATCTCCAAACCAGAAGTAATGGATTACATCGGTTTTTCGTCCTCCGGAATCACAGATGAGTAGTAATTATAGATCATTTTATAATTCTGTTTTCTACTTATCATTTAATTTCATTTTCTTTAGTTAAAATTTTTGCTTTTATTTTGGCTTAAAAACCTTGCACAATGTCTGATGTTCATGCCGTCCAAATTCCGGTTTATAACCGATCAGACCCATCTTTATGGTTTATTATGTGTGAAAATACCTTTGCTCTTGCCACCCCCAAACCTATCACAGAATCCATTGCTAAATATAATTATGTAGTTGCTCATCTTCCTCCAGATACTGCATCAATAGTACGGGATTTACTTATGAAACCAGACCCTATTGATCCATATACAAAGCTCAAAACTGAGTTAATAAATCGTTCAGGAGAATCTTCTCAGCAAGAAATTCGCCAATTATTATCTGGAGAAGGAATTAGGTTCTCGAAAACCTTCCGATTTGCTTAGAAATATGAAACGTCGAGCAGAATCTTTAAATGTTCCTGATAACTTAATGTTAGAATTATTCCTTCAACGTTTGCCTTCGACTGTTCAGTCTATTTTGGCAGCGGTTTCCAATTTAACTGTAGATAAAGCTGCAGAAATTGCCGACAGAATTTTAGAAGTAAATCCAACCCCAGGGACTTGTGCCGTTTCTCGCACAGTCGATCAGTCTCTTGAGGATAAATTATTTAAACAAATAGAAAAATTAAACAAACGTATTGATCGCATTTCTCTTTCTCGTGGTCGCTCGCCAAATCGCGGAGATCGCAATAAGGAAAGAAGCAATTCCAAAAGGAGAGATTATTCTGTTTGCTGGTATCATAGACGTTTTGGGAAAAAGTGTAGAGATGACAAATGTACAAAACCTTGTTCATGGCAGGGAAACGAAACCAGCAAAGAATAGAGGCGACTTATTCTTTGCCTCAAGTTTCACGTCGCCTGTTCGTTCGTGACCGTAGAACAAACCTTTCATTCTTGGTCGATACCGGCTCTGACGTGTCCTTACTTCCAGCAAATAATTCTCAAAAACGGAATTCGTCCCAACAAACACTTTTCGCTGCTAATTCTTCTACTATTCATGTTTATGGTCAAAAAAACACTTTCTTTGGATTTCAAATTAAGACGACAGTTTACATGGACTTTTCTTATAGCAAATGTTAGTACACCCATTCTTGGAGCAGATTTTCTCCATTTCTTTGAATTGGTGCCTGATCTCAGAAACAAATGTCTCAAAGATTTAAAAACGCATTTTAAAACCGTCGGTTGCGTGAAAAATGCAAGCATTTATTCAGTAAAAACTGTATTTAGTGATACACCATATCACAAAATTTTAAAAGAATTTCCTTCAGTTACTAGATTACCAGATCCTAACCAACCTGTTAAACATAACACCGTTCATTATATCATAACTAAAGGTCCACCTGTGGTTGCAAAACCCTCGTCGGTTAGCTCCAGATCGCTTAAAAATAGCAAAACAAGAATTTCAAACTATGATGCAATTGGGGCATTTGAGACCTTCGAGCAGCAATTATGCATCCCCACTTCACATGGTTCCAAAAAAGGGAAGTCTGGAATGGAGACCTGTAGGAGATTATCGAGCATTGAACGCTCAAACAATAAAAGACAAATACCCTATTCCATGTTTAGCCGATTTTACTGCTGCATTGCACGGTACTAAAATTTTTAGTCATGTCGACCTGATTAAGGCATACCATCAAATACCAATTAACCCAGCCGACATCCACAAAACCGCCATATGCCACACCATTCGGTTTATTCGAAAGTATCCGTATGCAATTCGGCTTATGCAATGCATCTGCGACTTTTCAACGTTTTATAGATGAAGTCACGCGGGATTTAGAAGGCGTTTACGCTTTTGTCGATGACTTGCTCATAGCCTCTAAAGATTCTGAGGAACATTGCAGGCATTTGAAAGCTTTATTTTCCAAACTTCAGGAATATGGACTTTGCATAAATGTTTTGAAAATGCACCTTTGGTCAAACATCTATTGATTTCTTAGGTTTTCACCTTAGTGAAAACGGAATTGAACCTCTTCCTGACAAAGTCAAATGTATTTTAGATTTTCCTCAACCTACCACTCTCACTCAGCTTCGCCGATTTTTAGGCATGTTTAACTTTATAGATGTTTCATACCTAAAGCAGCACATATTCTTTCTCCTTTAATAAAATTGTTAGAAGGCTATATTAATAAAAAGAAATCTCGTTCTCGTGTTCAGGATTCATCCCCACAATTAAATTGGAACGAGAATGCTGAACAAGCCTTTATTGCTGCCAAAAATGCCATTGCTCAGGCTACCCTTTGAGACACCCTATTCCCGGAGCCCAGCTAAGCATCTGGGTAGATGCCTCAGACGTCGCAATCGGCGGCACACTTATGCAGTTGTCTCAACAAACATGGGAACCTATAGCATTTTTCTCTATGAAACTCAGTAAAAGTCAACAGAAATGGTCCGCGTACGATAGGGAATTATTTTCTATTTATTCTGCAATTAAGAAATTCCGACACATGTTAGAGGGCAGAAATTTTATAATTTATACGGATCAAAAACCGTTA